ATTAAAAATAGAAACGTTCATACCAGCAAAGCAGCATCTGCAGCACTTTCCATGAATTTTAAATGTCTAAAGAATAAATTTCATGTAAACAAAAAATTCCAATAATAATTTGAACTTTGGAACAATATTCGCTCGTTCTCGAAGCAAGAGTAACTCACAAGTGCGAGGAACAACAGACAAGCGGAAAGGAATGTGATCAAAGGTGGACATGTTTACCACTCATTGAAATTACCTTTCGCCACTTTGAAAAAAAACATTTGCTCTCTGGCTAATTTATTAACAAATAATGTATTTACTAAATTAGATACATTGCAATAAAGCACGTATATATAAAATGCAGCAATTATTTATAGAACGTTCTAAATATATATATTCTATTTAGTGATGTATGAAAAGTTTTAAAGCGTATGTGCGTATTTAACGATCTATTTTGCATCGAGCCTGCATCATAAAGCTCGCGATTTTTATTTTTATGTTTCATTTCCATAATACAACAGTCACTACCGCCCCCTTGGGTGCAATGTCAGGCAACCTCTTGTCAACATGCCCTCTACAAGGATAGCTCCAACAAACGCAAAGGTCACACGCCGCTGAAATAACCGCCGTCTGTAAATGTTGTATTGTTCATTAGACACATTCCTCTATAGTTACTATTGATGAGAACATTAACAAGGGAATTCCTGTATATATAGATGGATTTTTACAAATGTGATACACATGCAGGATTGTATTTGAACGTTGCATTCATTCATAGCAGCGTTATGAAGCTGCTTATGTACTTATACACGTGTTTGCATGTTAACAACAATTACGCGATTAGTTTTATTCGTAATGTGTCAAATTATACATTTAAGTTTAGCCTGCAGGAATTCATGGCACACAGTTTTAATCAAGGTTCGAGATGATATTGTTTCACCAGGAGAGAACTCAAGAGATAGGATGAGCCTCGTTTTCAAGCGTGACCTGAGTTGTGGTCATGATGGAACTGGATGTTGTTACAGATACTGCATATCACGTCTTTCACACGAGTAAGGTGAAGGAACGCTGTCTCAAAATTATTTGTCTAGAAAGTAGGCTTTTGTTGAGAGATGGCAGATTAAGTGGATGGCATTTTTTTAATAATTGAGTTTATTGTGTGGCCATCTGTGGAGAAATTATGCAATAAAATATGTATTGTAGTGTTCCAAAAAAGCATGTATAGCGGTTATATTATACATATCAATATGTAGATTAGCAGGTTTGTCCATGACACCCCGCAATTTATTATATAGGAAGGGATTTCTTAAATTCAATTGTGTCCCACCAATCTACAGATTTCCCTTGTTCACCATTTGCCATTTGTGAGATGTATATTTGGATAAATAACACTAGGGAAATAGGTGGGTCTAGTGAGCCATGGAGAGAGGGCTCAGTAATGGAGTTGAATGCACAAATGGGGTTTAGACTTCTCGATAATCAAATCACGTACGAATGTTGTATCAAGACATTGTCTACCATGTGAATGCAGATTTTAGGTCTAAGAAGAATATACATTTTTAATGGAACAAGGCATAGTGTGTGTTGATTTAATGGTGACACACTCCAAGAAATGTGATGGTATGGCCAATAAATACGGACCATTAGAAACTCCTAGGAAAGTAGCTGTCAACAAGTGCATTGCGCACAATGCCACATAAATGCAACATGTCTCATGCCATTTATAATAGCTGACCATCTGAAATTTAATCATGTATTCCCATCATATACTGCCATAAAAAGCTATTCAGAAGATGTTTTTTTATTCCAAGTTAATAACAAAAACTATTATATAATCCACTTGAAATTAAAACCAAATAACTTCCATGGAAGTTTAATGGTGATTCTAAACCTGCAGGTCTGGTATATACAACAACATAAATAGTAAGTCACTCCTAAGAATCTCTCGAAATTGGAGGTCATGTACGTTGGGATAGCTGCACTGGCGGAGCCAGTGGGGGGGAGGGGGGGTGGCACGTGCCCCCCCAATGATCCGATCAAAATCCCTAATTTTGATCATTGGGGTTTATTAGTAATAAATCGGCATTTTGCGACCCCCACTGCCACTGCGAAGCATATTATGTGCCAGGGACTCTATGAGATAATAGGACAATAGTCCGAGTCCATAATTGGCAATAAGTAACGGCAAAGCAGTTAACACATTCCTGCGGAGGGAGCTGGTAGGAACGTTGGGTTGCTCGGTCAATGGCCAGGGTCAACGGCGGCACCACGTGGTGTATTCCGCAAATATGCCCGACTGTGAGGGCGGGCACAAGCCGGTGTGAGTAGGTTGAACGTTGAGTTTTATAAGGGCACCACGGGGTGACCAGCCCCTCCCACCCAGCCCCACCCTCCCCACCCAGCCCCTTCCCACCCTCCCCACCCAGCCCCTCCCCTCCCCACCCAGCCCCTCCCTCCCCACCCAGCCCCTCTCCACCCAGCTCCACCCCTCCCATTTTTGGATGCACGACGGACGGACGGACACAATAATCCCCTGTGGGCTGGTGTAACCAGGAGGTTCCTACCAGTATAAGTGACTCACAGAATTGTGCGCAGTTGCGTATAAAGTACACGACTTCCCTGAAGGCAAACCCCTTCAGCGAGCGCGATGCCGATCACACAACACGGTTCGAATTCGATCCTCGATCGATGGCTGCACCATTACCGCACACGCGTCAAATAAAAAGCAAGGGACAAGTCCTCACTTACTAATAACTACGGTACTGTGATTTTTCATTTCTGGAGGGGTTGCCCCCCCCTACCTGAAAATCCTGGCTCCACCATTGGATAGCTGTCAGCCTTGATTTATTACGGGTAAGCCCACTACGACTGTTAATTTACTTCACCAGTTAAACCCCACTGTACTATTAGCACCTTTTCAGGGGTGACCTGGCCACACATGATAGCTCATCATAGAATCTAAACGCATGTTTCTAAACCCAGAGAAAAATCCAAGTGACCAGGAGGAGAGATAACACGAACTCCAAACATACACGCATAGTCATGGTTGGGATCAAACCCACAACCTCCTGCATACCAGGCAAGGGGGATAACATCTCGCCACGGTGGCTCCCCAGAAAACGTTTGTTGACATCGAATTAATCACTAATATTGCAGCCTCTGTGGCACATATAATATTTGGCGCGTACTTTCTCGTTATTTTTTATCCACAAAAATTACCATGCGTAATGTAAGATCATGTGGATGCAAATATATGCTTTCTAAACCAATATGAACAATATGAGTTTACGAATCTCGCATGGTTCGGTCAGAATGTGAAATCACGTGACAAGTTGAGAAAAGAAGCCTTTTATTTAACAAGCTAAAGACATTTGAAATAAAGCGAGGACATTTTTTTGTATGGAATTTTAGACTGATGATTAATCATTATTATGACTACAATGTACCAAGGAATGCCTCACTCACTAAATGCTTTTTTTCAGGAGAGTCTTGCAAAGGAGTTGAAAGTAATTGTTCAAATTTGGAAAATGTTGATCATGACGCTTGACACACAGTGGCCTGCTCTTCTTTAAATTACATAATGATATCTTTAATGTCCACTGTGAAGCCAATGGCACGTATTTTACGGTTAATACACCAAAAGTATTAACCAAGGCAACCTGTCAGATTTGAAACGCGATGTCACTCGACGACTGCGATCTATCTGACGCAGCCGAAATGAATGTGAAACATTTGTGGATTGGAGTGTTTTTGAAGGCGTGTGTCTTAATACATTTGTGCTTACATTTCAACTTTAAGTAATAAGATAATGCATTTATATTTAAGTGCTTTATAGATACTCTTTGGTTCTTTCGGTAAAGTCACGTAGGTATAAAATAAAATAAATCACGACGTTTCGGGCGCTTTCCCACCTGATGACGGACGCTTGTGTTGCGCCCGAAACGTCGTGATTTATTTTCTACCCACGTGACTTTACCGAAAGAACCAAAGAGTATGGATTCCTGCAGTCACGAAAGCTTCAAATCAAGATTAATTCATAGATATTATGATCGGCACATATGTAACTTAGAAGCGTTGTTTTTGATTTCACGATATCGTGTTGTTTTGGATACCTTCGTACTAAAATGTATGAATCCATAACATGTATTATATCATGTCAGAATAATATCTGATTTGTAATGATTATTTGATTACACATAATCCTTGATATTCAAATCACAGATGGGGTTTTTCCCCCCTCATACATCGAATAATAATGATACGTCAAATATTAACATAATGCATGGTATATGCGATGTGCATTTCATATACATATGCAGTCCATTTTGGTTATACAAAATTGAGATGACTATGTTGCTAGACGGTATTTACTTACATATACTCTAATGCAACATGCACAGTAATGTTGAAAGATAATGTTTTCTGGAAACTTGTTATAAAGAGCTAAACTATTCTTCTTATTCCCTCTAAAAATAATCATGTACATCTTGTGAGTATATCAAGTAATGCACTTACCTGTACACTTACCTACAGTAGGTGACAAAGTCAATACAGTCGTGCAATAAACATGCAAACAGTATATGTGCACATACGGAGGTTGCTGGTTAATATTTATTTGAGGCCTGCATTTTAGCTTTCAAAGTTTAAAGACCTGGAAGACTTACAGATTTTAGGCGATTTTTTTTTTACGTGAGCACAATCCCTAAGCAGATGGCTGTTTCACTGCATGCATTCTTCTAATATTTTAGGACGTAAAATTTCATAAAAGGATTTTTTTTTTCTTCACATATATGGTGCTGCGCCAGGTGTACATTTTATGACATTGGGCTATGATCTTCGACGCTGCCAAATTTCCAAACAGGCCACATGACCCCCTCCAGGTCTCGGAACAGATTGGGTTATTGTGAGCGGGAGAGTTGCAGTGGAGGCAGGGATGCATGCCCAACTGGCGGCAGAAGTTGAGCGCACAGTGACAGGCCTGCGTGATATAGCCAGGTAGCATCGAGGAGCGTGCTCATACTCACGGTCATTGCAGAAAGCACCACTGTAGGATGTCATGGTACAGTCGCAGGTGAAGCTATCCCACTGCTGCACACACTGGCCCTGATTAGCGCACGAGTCCTCTTGGCAGGTGGTGCTAGGACCTGAGCCAGGGAGACAGCAGGAAAGGCTTCTAGGAGCAGAATGCACTGTGCATTGACCAGCTGCAAAGCATCGTTAATTGGCTGTGGCCAATCAAAGTCAATAATAGTCCGGTTTTTTTTCTTCCTACAAAAATTGGTTTCATCACCCAACAGCAAAAAATGAAAACCTCATTTGTGAGTTACTGGGTATAATTTTACATGCAACAGAAATCAAACGTAATTTGAGGATGCAATTGTTTGCTCAGCAAACATGGTCCATAAGTGAATATGTGGGCGATCTAAATTAACAGGGAATGATGATAATGTAAGAAAGTATTGAGGAAAAAAGCATAGGACATTTATACAGTGTTACAAAGAGGTTAAGTACATAATCCTAAATTATAACTTCTGGCATTTAATATCAAAGCATAAACTTACAGAACTACTTTCACCCACTGCCACTACATTTATATTAGCATTTATTTTATAAATCTCAGTGCTATACCTTTCATGTGTGCTTTCAACTCAGCTTTGTCAGCAAAACAAATGAAGGGGAAAAAGAAAAGAAGCAGAAGAACATGTTTACATGATCAGAGAAATCAGATGAATCACAGACATGGGCCACCCATGGCATTCACAATGATATGCATCATTATCATTCTCGGAACATGACAAAAGACAGCACCGCGTCTGAATAAAGAAAAAGTGAATTGTGAAATATTAATAAAATATGCAAAAAAACTAGACTGCAGTGTAATTATATATATTTTTATCATCAGAAATAAAGTGGGTTTAGAAGTCAAGAGACACAATGTTTCCCAATTAAAATAAAGACTGCCGAGATTAATTGTGTATGACAGCTTTAGTTTTAAAATACATGTTCTCCAGCATGTACTAGCAATGACGGCAATAATATCTGTAATGAAGTATTCCATTAGCGTCGAGGCAAAGTGGAAGAAGAAATAATGATTGTGAATGCAACAGTTAACAATAGTATTGCAGGATAATTCCATGCAACTAGCTGATACATTATTTACCAGTAACAGTCATTCTAAAGCATTGTAACAATAATGTTTAACCGTGACTGTGCCTAAAAATGTATTAATTTGTTTGCATCATTGTTCACACGTGTGTATATCCACCGCACCTATTTTTGTTTGTATCATTGTTCGCACTGTATAGCTCTGTTTTCTTGAGCAAGAAACGGTTAAATACATGCAATTACACCAACAACAACTGCAACAAAAACGCCCCACCACTGGTGCGTACATTTCAAAGTACACAAAACAATGTATACAGCATGTGCACGCCAGGTGGGGATACCTTCACAGCCACGCTCGATGGAGCCCATGCGGTAGAGGGCCTCATCAATCATGTCTGGGAGGCGGCCGTTGAGGTCCAGAGATGCCAGGCAGCCCTGGAATCCCTCGCGGGAGCCCACCAGCTTGGGAAGGTTGCTGTACTCTGTCTTGGACAGTCCTCCAATGTAGAGCTCTCCTGCGGGTGACAGCATTGTTACGGGAAATAATTTTGCGGCGGCGATGCTTGCCTTGGCGCTGGTGTACAAATGCTCTTGAAAAGAGGCATTGTCTGAAATGTTGCAAAAATTTTTTAAAGGCCACAGTTTATTGACGAATGTGAAATGAAATGAGCCAATTTGTCATATGCAGTGTTCAATGGCAACATGTTGGGTTATACAGATCTTGGCTGTGGGTGATATTTAACTATAGACACGTGAGCTGCATTGTATCATACATAGAGCCACCGCGGTATTAAAACATTACTAGTTAATTAAATTTAAAATCTTGTCAATGAATCTGGACCTTAAAGTGTAGCCTCTACAGTTCTGTACATAATGCTCTAGGGCTAATTTCATAAAACAACTGGAATACAAAATGCCTTTAGCTTCCTGTTTCAATCAATGCAATGCAGGGATATTTCTGCTCCACGTGCTTTGTGCGACTGGTCAATGGTGATATACTCGCACCTCACTGAGACGTGTAAACGTTATCTGTATGTACAAGTTAACTTGTAATTAACAAACAATTGTGATGTAAAGTGATGAGAAAACTAGAATGTGAATTTATCTAAAATCATTCACAAATGACTGGTATCAACATGGGACCTCCTTTGCCAGTGTCAAAATGTAATTGTGCTTTGTGCTGTTCGCCTTTTGGCGTCCTCTGGCCCAACACTGTTTGAGACTAGGCTCTAAAGAAAGCTGTCTCTGGTGTGGACCAATCAGTTTCAAAGACAATGCATAGAGTATACTGCCAGAGCATGTTTTTGCTTGTATTTTCACCACAAGTATCTGTGGTTAATGCAGACATGAGTCCTTGCAAAAGGTTTCAGTTTGGTGTTTTAACATCTTAACACCTGTTTTGTTGCCAGAAAAAGGGGAAAACCTATTCTTATGACTGGTATGAAGTTTAAGCTTTAGCGCAATTATATATATAGAATAGTTTATTAAAATTAACACAACCATTTATCTTTACTGCCACCGTGAGGGAAGTAATATCTTGATATGTGGGTTAACTGGCCTTCTTAAGCCTGTGATTTATTATTTAATTAAAGTGTGGACAGTACTGGATTTAAGGCTCAGATAAATGTTCCACCACCGAAAAGCATGGTTGGCTACGTAAGGCGCAAAAGAAGTTCAACGTACTAACATCTTGCTCCGATGTACAAATTTTGTTTGCAAATCAGCTTTCTAGTTTCCTTATCAAGATATATCAATATTGTTTGGCAATTAAATTATATCCAGAAATCGCTATCAACGTTTATCCTGCCATCTGGTGGAGTACCAGCGTCCTCTAGTGGCAAAAACTACACGATACACCAACTTTAGCCCAAAAGAAACTATGGAATTTATTATTTCTTATCCCTGCAGTCACGAAAGCTTTAAATCGAAATTTATTATTTTATATTTTACCAGGTAAGGCCCACTGAGCGACATAGCTCTTTCTCAGAAGCGACCTGGCCACAAATAATAGCTCAACGAAGTTGGCTTATCATGTGGAAATTTATAGCAGCCAAATAGTTTAAACGCATTTTTCTAAACGTGGAGGGAAAAACTGGAGGACCCGGAGAAAAATCCACGCGACCACGGGGAGAGAGACATGCAAACTCTAAATATGCAGGCGTCAAGGTCGGGATCGAACCCACGACCACCCTGTACACCAGGCGAGGTAGTTAATATCCCTCCACCCTGGTACCCAGAGCGATAAACACAATAGAATCGACAATAGAGAGCTGTTGATGGTTCCGTGGTGTAATAGTTAGCACATCAGACTTGCGATGCAGATGTCCCAGTTCCATTTCCTGTCCAAACAATGGACGAGTTTCTTAAATCCCCACCACCCCCAGTCGCCTGACCCCCGTATCCCCCTAGCGGAATAAATGGGCCAAGCCAGTGATGTAAATTCACAAATGATGGGCAGCTCATGAGTAGTGGGTACTTCCATCTCTTACAAAACATTTAGGTCAGTGTGGAAGAGTAGGACAAATAACATTTGGGAGCGCTTTCCGCCACGTTCGCCACAATTTGACTCCACTTACCCATGAATACACTTTGCAGATAATGGCAACATATTTTCACGTATAACAGGAGTAAGCACTTTCTTCCAGCTTCAAACTGCTTTTGGTGTTAAGTTTGTTGCCCTTCCGCTGCACGTCTTATTAGCACATTTGGCTACGTACAGTGCAAATAAGTTCAGCATACATACATACATTAGCGGACCTTATAGGTTCCGCAGATAATAGGAGTCACAGGTAATAGGGTCACAGAGAGGAGCCGCTCGACTGTATTTACCTTTAAGGTCCAGATTCTTGGCTCCATTCACGTTCAGGGTGCTGGACTTGGAGTCCACCTTCAAGGTGTGCACATTGTTGAGCTCTCTGGAGATGATCACGTTGTGCCACTGGTTATCGTTGAGCACTTTCTTCGAGCTGTCCTTGATTAGGTTCTGTCCATTTCCCAAATCAAACACGTAGTGGATGTGCCTGAAAAATAATCAAACATGTGCAGTACTCATAAATATCAAGATTATACAGCAATTATTGTAGATAAAATACAATGCAGTGATTTTGCGCATATTCTGCTCAGAAACATTTAGATATATTTTTTTATGTAGGAAGTATCAATGCATTGTAATATCAAACTTATATGTATGATGGTGTTTTTTTATACTGCTACATCCTATTCTCACAATAGTTTAGAACCCCTGAGCGTGCATATTATATATGGGCAGTTGCACAATTTCGCACATTTCAGACATTTTACAGATGTGGATATTCATTACCATAATCATCTTGTGGCTTCTTTATTTTGGCGTGGCACATCAACCAATTAGGGCTGTAATTCAGTGTGACGATGGTGAATTTAGTTTTGTGTCTGTGCCAGACCATTGACGTATTCCATCAGCTATATATGTATAAAAAAACAACCTAAGATAATTAACTTCAGAAATTCCACTCCATGTGTTTTATAAAAAAAAAAAATGTGAAATGTTGACGGCGAGTTTCATTATTTGAGGAACTGTCCATATATATACATGAGCAAATTTGTTCAGTTATCCAAACAGTCATTTATATATTTATAACTTGTGCGTTGCTTTAGCGCAGGCACGAAAGCTTCAAATTGCCAAGTGGCCGGCAAAAGAAACCCCACGCATTTGAAGGCAGCAGCAGAGACATACCCTTTCACGAGCTCCACCGCGATGAAGTCACTGCCATCTCCACTGTTGAAGAGTATGAGCCCGTCAGGCGACGTGGTCTTCAACTGGAAGAATAGGTGCATGGTGGTGTAGGCTTGCAGAGTGGGAAGTGTGAGGAAGCTGACTTTGGTCTTGAAAGTGATGGGGTCAGCGATGATGTTGCGCATGCCAAAGCGAGCATTCAGCTCGCAGTAGTCGATGTCGCCATTCTTGCATTGGTCGATGTATCCCATCCGGTTGAAGTTGACGTTCTGCAGGTGGCCGATGAAGTTGGAGGGTACAACGGAAGTGTAGCGCCGCTCTGTCATGATGCCCGTCTCGATGTTGTGGAACTCCAGCCGTGTGTGATCCCCGATCATTTGACCTTTGCAGATAAAGGGATGCAGTCCTGTTTTTTTTTTACCACCAATAACTTCACGGGTTAGAGCTGCATAAACCCACGTATTTAGTGAAATTATAGTTATGAAACATGAATCATATGGCTGTTATACTCATTATTGATATAATAATGGAGCACTGATTGAGCTCTTTGCCTATAACAATTTGATGTTATGGCCAGCTGTTGACCAACATCATTAGATGCCATTCTAACGGTACTGTGCACTGAATCGACGCGATGCTCAGCAAACATACTTTCTGAGTACACCTCGCTGGTAAACACAGCCCCAGAGAATTGCGAGCAATAGAAAAGTGACCTGCCGTGTACATTATACCTACGATAATCACCTAGGAATGTGTCCTTAACGTTCGTGACGTCACTCAACATCGACCAGCCCCCCTAATGAATATTCATGAGCAGGTGACATCCTCCAAATGGACACCCCCCCTCATTAATAATCATGAGCATAGCACGTCACTCCACATGGGGGGGCCGAGGCACCTCCTCCCCCCTCCTAAGCATCAACTTACACCCCTCACTACAAAGGCAGAACCTTCACATCACGCGATCTCCGTAACGCTATTGAGACATCGAAGTAAAAAGGACGTCATGATGAACAAGGGATTATAACCTTTAAATAAAATAGGTCTGTGTCACCGCGCCCTTACAAATTGCACACACGAATTGATGCAATGAATATATCACGTCGCGGTCTGATTTTCGCTCACAAGTTTCAGATTTACTGCAATACACCCGTTCTTGGACGGGCAAAAGGCTAGTCTATGTTCAGAAATGCAGATGCCATAGTCCCTTCTGTACAGGGCACAAACCTCGAGAACATTCACAGCTGACATAACTTCATCGGAAGCATATATCTGTAACTGGAGCCTGCGACCAAATTTTTCCAAAACCACCACAAGTGCTTTCCACTTGAAACAATCGTGCAGCAGATGCTGCCCCTAATAGGTGCTTGTGGTAGCTCAGTGCATTATGACCCCACTCCAAGATATCTCGGGGTTTTCAAGGATAGAAGCCTCACATACAACAGATCTGTGAAAATACCAAATGAAGATTCACCCTGCTACAGAATCTTTTCAGGAATGACCTGGGGCACCTCAGCTGATGTGCTGAAAATTGTCACTCTCTCACTAATCTACTCAGTGGCAGTCACTGTGCTCTAGCCTGATCCGAGAGCTCGTATACAAAACTGCTAGATGCACAATGAACGCAATGAATATCATAACCAGAACACTGAAACCAACACCAATCCCTAGGCTCTGTTCTGGCGAACAATCAATCACCAAATATCTACACAGAGATTCAAATTGTAAGGGAGATTATACGTTTTCTTACCAACGACAACCTACCCATCAACAATGTACATCCCTGCTCACTCAAAACCCGATCCCCCTTCTGGGAACTCACTTGTTATCATATAATCTCGCCCAGATCCGGAAGAACGCTGGCGAACAAAGTGAAACAATGTACATGTCCAGAAAATAAAACCTCGTTTGAGATCCAAACATTGCACCTCCTGGCTTTGACACTCCTCAGAGACATTCGTATACCATCAATTGCATCAGAATATCTAGAGACCAATGTGCACATCTACTTCATGAAAGGAAAACTAAAGGCAAGTCACAGTTGTGCAACTTTGATCATGCAGCCCAAACTATGGACCATATAGTAGTCTGCGCTTATTCGTGGCTAGCAGACGTCGACATTGGCATTCAGCTCCTGAAAATATTTCTGCCATAAGCAAGCATAGAATGCAAATGTCGCCAATAAAAACTGTTCACAAAATGTAATTTTTCCATAGCAATTATACTTGTTTCAAAATTATGAACCCAATGACAGCTTACCTTCCGTCGCGATCCCATCCACAATTAGTTTGAGGCTCTTCCCACGACGAGTGACATGCACTGTGTGCCACTCATTATCGTTGAGGTTCTTGCCAACGTAGAGGGTCTCCGGTCCCTTGCCTATGGAACAATAATTCTAGTCAGCGTTAGCCACTGACTCTCACATTCTACCTATCATTTCTGGAACACAAATATATGTTCTTGTTATTGCGTATGTGTGTGGAATACAACACACTTGTAGGCATGTTATTCGTTTATAAGTTATATGTAACGGATGCATGTGCTGGATGAAACGACTTTTTCCACCAGTTTCCAGAGAGAAAAAAAGACATCTAAAAAAACATAGCTATGATGGATATGTTTTCCACCAAACACTGTATTGGCAATAAATGCACTTTTCACCAACAGGAATTGGGCCCATAACGTGTGCACGTTAATGTTTATTAAACTGCTAGAAAGAAACAGCACTCAATCAAAAAAATGGCTTATTGTTTTTGGAATAAAATGTTATCTGCCAATTGATTTTGCGAACTGTAGATTTGTTTAATTTGACTGATAATAATCTTACCAATGTACTGCACGTCTTTATTGATACAAATGTAGAAGCGCATCTTAAAAATAAGTACAGTATCGTAATAACGATGGCCGTAAAAAACACAATGTTATAGCAAACATTATGCTGATCATATTGCATTATTGTGCAATTTTAACGGGCCCGAAACTATTCACTCCTTGGAGATTTTATTTGACCAATAATAATTTAATATGACAATGCCTATCCTGAATTAGCAAATGTGCATGGGATGAAATACCGTATATTCATCGGCATGTCTGCTTTGGGAGATGTCACAAGTGGCTCTTAGTGGCTTATATCCTGACAGAGCTGGAAAATAATCTGTTAATTTGTACTATTCTATATTCTAGTAAGTTAGTTATTTTAAGCCAGCAATTTTTTTTTTACAAATTGATGAATTGGTAACTGTAGGAATATTAGACATTCAACATCCTGACATCCCAGTAAGCCTCAGATTAATATTTATTGTTGACATGTTACTGCAGTAAACAGAAAAACATCTTCAAGGACAAAAATATTCGTAATTTTACTTACTGTAATTCGTCATCATCTGTAAAGAGTGCCATCTAGTGGATTGGTTAGACATTGAAAGTAACTTGGCTGTTCATAATTATCAGTGCATGGTCATGTGTCCCTACCATTTAAAATAAATGTAGAACTCAAGATAAATTGAAGTCGAGAATTCGTCTTTCATTTTACAGCCCTTTTGTCAATTCCCTGCTGGCTAGGTGGCTCACAATCGGAATGTTACAAGTTTCAATCCTGGTCAGGGGTTTACTCAGCCTCATCTCTCCGGGGTCGATAAAATAAGTACCACTTCGTGGGGATGTAGTCTTGATAGACTCGGCCCCGACATAGGAATGTGGAATTCCTGCCACTGTTTCAGAGCGGTAAGCGGGAGATGCACATTTGAGCAGGAAATCACTTGGATATTTTACAGCTGGAGGAAGACTTCCCAAAAATTTTGGCTGGCCTATAAATTAGTTTATCCAATAAATAATCTTGATATTTTGTTAAATGCATTAAACTTGGTAAAAAAAAAACACAAGTACAACAAAATATGAATATCTCACGAACCAACATTCTTACTAACCACCCTGACAATCTGCATAGGAGATACTGTATCATTTTAATTTTCTACCCTTTTAAAATGTATTCTGCTTTTGGCCTTATATATGTATATATGCTTAATTATTTATATCGTGTAATTTGTTGCTTAATTATATAAAAAAAAATTACGACCAACAATGATATGGCTTGCACACTTGTTACAAAAATGATTTATACTCTATGCACATGCATGTCTCTTTGAGGCTACCAACAATTAAACACAGACCTGCTCCTTAAATACAGTATGGAGTTGTATCTTATTTGCTTATGTTTAAAAATGTGTTTATTTTTGTATCATGACAAGCTTAAGTATTATGGCAAGCATAGCTATGCATTAGGTCGTGGATCCACAACCATCTTAAATTCGACGTTTAAAACAGGGTAACAACTTCAAAGAAAATGGCAATAATTAGGATGTAATTAAAAAACCATTTAAATTTTGGCTGGAGGACATGTTTTTTAAGTTGGTGGTATAAGACCATTTAATGCATGGTAAAATAAGTTTCCACCGTGTTTAATTTCATTACATTAAGTCACCACTGGTTCGAATGGAGTAACATTTAGGGAAAAATTAATTGCAAAAGAAGCCTGCATTTGTACTCTTCCACTCCTTCATGTTTAAATGGCTTTCTTGACCTTTCTGTTATTATTGTAAGCACTAGGGCTGTTTAGAATGCACGGAGAGTTTGCATCCCAGGCAGCATGTTGTTCAACCTCAAAGCGAATACTACATCTTTGATATGTTAAGGTTAACCTTCTCATAAAAAAATACTTTTCAAATGTACTTCTCGGGAGAAAAAAACTGCTTTAGAGCACAACAGCATAAGAGTACAGCTTACAAAGTATTTTGTTTAAGGAAAAATATGCTTGAGATAGTTCATGAAACAGTTTTTCTTCTAGTGACAATTCAAATGTAATAATGCTGACATTGCTGCAGAATGTTTGCTATTTAGTCCATACTGTCAAGCTGGTATATGACTCGTGTAGGAAATATTACTGTGATGCTTTAGACCAAATGGTTGACAGATGCGAAAATAAAGGACAATAAAAAATCTAATCGTTTCTCTTCAGCCAAAAAAAACCCACAATCCTCACAATAATTTATGAACATCTGGCACCTTGGCCCTTATGTATATATTTCGTTTGTAAATTCTTTCACCTTTTTGAAAAATAAATACAACCTTATTTATCACGGTAGAAAAATATATCCTATGCACATGTTTGAACATTATTATGATTCGACAAATGTTATCATTTTAAGAGCAGAATAAGCTCGGTTATTGTCATAAAATATTATAACTTTAATATAAACCATTTCTATTTCCAAGTATAATATAAAAAAAATCCTGACCCATGGCATATATTTTGTTCTGCTATTTTATGATGATGAAATACATTTTCAGGTGAGTTGTAGCTTGAGAACTGGTGCACTATCACGTTTCTTCCATCAAATTCATTTCCAGTATCCAAGGACAAAATTTCAGACATCTTCAATGGGTCACTGCATTGGGTCAGTCTCTACAAAATTCACTCAAGCTGAAATTAATTACTTACTGTGCCTTTTCTTGCAAAATAAAAAAATAGTCAAACCGTTGAAATGGGCTTTCATGCGGTTTAATAAAATATGGCACAATTGATTTCAGAAGGTTAATAGTAATGTTTCATGGTATATTATCCAACAAACCTTCCAAGAAACAAGCACATACTAGGAAGGGGTATTTAACTAGGCTTTAATAGTAGAAACGTTTAGTTTAAAATAACAGTTAATGTGTAACTCATAATTCGTATATATAAAACAAGTTAAGAACTAATTGTATTATCAAAGTAGTGTATGGCAATGGGACCCTTTTGCTTGTACTGTATCAAGATATTTTAAAGCCTTTAACTTAAAGCATTACCTTTGCGTCTTTTTAGAGTAAAGCATTTTTAATCATTCAAACTACCATATAATTACAGGAGTGCTTTCTAAATAATATATTGCAAGTACAATTTATTCTGTATTTTTGAAAAAAAATCTGAATCTTGTAATTGTTACGGTAATGAGTATTTGTAATGTAGATAAATTACGTGTAATTTGTTTTGTTATTAATACTAAAATACTTTAATATTTCGAATAACTTAACCTTTTCCTAGTTCTGCTGGTTTAGTACATGGGAAAAACAATATTTATCTTTTGTACAAGTTAAATCATCTCTATTTTGGTGTTAACACTGCAATTCAATACGAATTATATCGAGTGTTTTTTTTCCGTAGATTAATTCAATTAAAATATTCATTACATCCAACCACCTAGTATTAATGCTTCTAAATATTAATGTGTTTATTTTACACAGCCAGGAGGAGTTTATTTTATATTTAGTTCTATTTACTGAACGACCAAATTGGCTATCATACATTAACGGCTCTAGCTGTTTTTATTTTTTGTGCATTGGTTTTAAAACTCTTCACCTTTGTCACACTAATATCCACCCAAATTATAATGAAGCTCAGAAGTTTCCACTGTTTCTATTTTTCTGAGATGTCGTTAGCAATCTAATAAGGCCGAGATATCTCAAATATCAGTGTCAGGTGGAAAATCCGAATACAGTACCGTATACCATACTCAGTAAATGTTAAACCACGTACTATATGGATGTTATATATTCTTGGTTCTTTCAGTAAATTCACGTAGAAGGGAAACAATAAAATAAAAAAAATATATAAAACAATAAAATTTCGATTTAAAGCTTTCGTGACTGCAATGATTCATCTTCTTTGGTTATTTCGGTAAAATCACGTAGAATGAGAATAAAATATTGATAAAATAAAATAACACAATAATATTCTCACGACGTTTCGGCCACAACACAAGCGAATATTATTGAGAGAATATTATTGTGTTATTTTATTTCATCAATTTATTATTTTATTCTCATTCTACGTGACTTTACCGATAGAACCAAAGAAGAACAATAAAATTCTCACGACGTTTCGACTGCAACACAAGCAATCATCATCAATCATCACACCTGATGATGATTGCTTCAATCATCACACCTGAAGATGATTGCTTCTGTTGCAGTCGAAACGGCGTGATGATTTTATTGTTTTATATTATTATTTTATTGTTTCCCTTCTACGTGACTTTACCGAAAGAACCAAGAATATGAATCCCTGCAGTCACGAAAGCTTTAAATCAAAATTTATGTGGATGTTACTTTGATGCAAATTAAATGTTGAGTAAATAAATCATGATTCCGAGAGAATAATTTACAAGGTGCATCAGCCGAGTATGACCACAAGGTGGCGGATGCGTCACGTTCACTGGAAAGGCGATTGACCCAAATGTCAATGACTACAGCTACTCTGGCAATAATGGCCCCTAGCGCAAATTAACAACACTGAATAAATGAGAAAAATACTTGTTTGACGTCACCTAATCGCTTTCGGTAACAAAGGATCTTGCAGCATATTGAAAACGGCGTTGAGTAAGACTCATGCCCTCGCTTGAATACAAAGGGGAAGCAAACCACCCTGTGTCGCAGAAAACATTTATAGGGAGCTCACAAAATGGAGTCCCATAAATGTACATTATATTTAAATCTTGACTTAAAGCTGTCGTGACTGCAGGAATTCATATTCTTTGGGTCTTTCGGTAAAGTCACGTAGATGGTTCAAAGATGGTTCAAAGAACCATCTACTGTATGTGACTTTACCCCCAAAGAATATACATTATATTTGTGTCAGTTGATACACATTTCTGCTATTAGCTTCACATTAAACATTTGTATCGGAGACTTCACAATTTGTTTATGTATACTGCAGCTATCCTTATAAATGGTAAACTGTCTATGTCTTACTGTGTCTCAGTATCTGTGGTTATGTCAATCATTAAACTGTATGTCTTTGGGCCCATGTCTCTGTATCCCTGTGTGTGTCTCTATTTCTTTGTGGAGTCTTGTTGTTCCATTCTCCACAGGGGCACAATTAGTGTTGAGATGGCCACAGGCCTGCACAGACATTCCCAGGGGGCCACAATTGCACATCCCTTGCCTCTACAAAGTCTATATACTAGAGATGTGTTCCAAATTTTCGGACTAATAAAAAAAATCAAGCCTTAGATATGAAATGTCAGATGATCCAGATTAATCTGAAAAGTGATGTCACTTTTACAGTATCGCATCGTTTTCCCACCACGGGACATCATGTTTGATGTTACATCACTTTTCCTTAATAGAAAATACATTTACATTAAAAAAAATTGTGTTTACCTATATGAATTTACGTACAAACATAGATTCAGTGATTCATATTTTTGTTAAATAATAATGAAATGTATTAATTGTAGTGCATGAATAATACAAGCTATTACAATGAAATACATTTTCATCCTTAAAAAACCCGACGTGAATATAATTGAGCCTAAAAGTCCAAAACAAAATTAGGAGCTGATTTCCTGTGTTGAATTATGAAACTCATCACCTACTACATCTCGATTATGCACTCGATGTATTAATTTTGATCAGCTACTACCATATCACTGGCTGCTTGCTTTACAATGTATGCACATATGGCATGGCACATCCATGTAGCTCCAATACTTTCATGGATAGAGAAAAATAAGAGGGTTGAGATATATTTTCCGTTGCTTACAGTGACAATAGAACACGTGTTTACATTTGTAATTGTTAGTTGGCCAGTTATTGATCATGTGAACAAGTTCACAGCTCAGCAGTCGTTTAACACGTTTTTTTTGTTTAAAATAAATCGACATCATCTTATATGTGCATAGAAAACTTCGTGTAAATTTAATGTAATCATTAAGTCAATTTAAGGTTGACCCCCAAACCAAGACCTGAACTCGCAAACCTTCCCATTGCGATTCGAACGTTGTCATCACAGCACTACCCTGGCTAAAAACTAAAAATACAGGGTCAAAGTTAAATCATAATTGGGCAGACTCTTTTTGATAAAAACAAAGTTGTTATATACGTATTTAAGCATTTGGAGAATTGTACGCTTATGCTCATTTACTAACGCAAAAAGAATGGAGTAAAGATTGCTTACAAGGAGAAGAAAAAACGATTTAAAAACACCCATCTTGAAATCTAATTTTTATATTGTTTATAATCATGTGTGTATGCAGTGCTGGACATGAATAAAGCAAATCCATTGGAGTTTAAGACATTATATAAAGGGACAATTTATGTCACACATGACAGATACTCGCTTCCCTGCAGCACATCTCAACGGACGTCAGAAGCTATTCATTAAAATGTAAAAAAAATGGCTAGTGTTATGGTACAAGGCATCTTGGTCCCTAACAAAGATACCTGTTCATGCAACAAATCTATGCCTGCTCAACCCGTACCCTGCAGGATTTAAATCGATCAGTATTCGTTTATCTCAGGCATGCAGGGTGGAGATCATTGGCAGCGCGTGTCTTCAGGCCTGTCAGAATGTCAGTAAAAAAGTGTGTTGCCTTCATTAGTTTTCCTTTGGCAATGCAGTTCTTGTTGGACCATGGCACACAATCTCCAACAAGGAATCTGAATCGCATTATATCTCATAAAACTAGGCAGTCAATATTCAGGGGACAATGTCAGTGCTATAATCCAGTTTAAATTATCGCTGCTTGCTGGCTTGCTTAGTTTCAGATTTTGATGCAAATAATTGGGATGCCTCATTTGATATGATAACACCATGAAGCAATCTACTGCTGACATGCAATATTCATTTATGAAGTTAGATTTTAGTTGTTAACTTACTTATTTTAGCAGAATACACTGTGTTAATTTTTTTTTATAGAGAAATACTTTTTTGTTTACAATAACCAATGGCTTTGTTTGTATTTGAACTATTTAAATGTTATTTTACTAAGGTAAAATGCATTCTAATTGCTTTTGTAGAGTATCAGATAACATATATATGAGTCACACATTAAATATGTAATCTGTATAATGTCTTGTGATAAATATTTATAATTGACTGAGAAAACATATTGTATAATTCCAGCCTATTTTCCGAGGAAATAGCGGCCAAATATATTTAAGCCACAAGTCCTGCTGTTATAAAAATTACACCTCAAGATTGCAGTGTTCTTGTGGGATTTCATCTGATATTACCTGCCAAAATTTTGTGTTAATTCTAACACATTCTAGGTGCGAAAAGTCAGCTGTATTCATTAGTACACTCTGATTGTTGAAGCTACATTGAATGTGATAATTACAATACAAACAGGCAGGTGTTCTTTTACTATCAATTTACATGTTGTATTTAAGATTAAACATGCAGTGGATTATTATCAGCTTCGACTACACTCCAATATTCTTCTGCCCAAGCTGTTAGAAAAATGATTCATTAGGGGTAAATAAAAATGTTTTTTTTCGGAATGGTTTCAATCCAGAAGTTACATGCAGGTTTAATTATTCAGGTAGCGTATGCCATTGGATGTAGAAGTATGTCTTTCTCTGTGTGTTTAGCATGCTGCGCTATTAACCTGGCAACACAGGTTCGATCCCTGCTCACAGTCAACAGCAGTAACGATTATCTGAACCGGTCATGATTCATCCTAGGTTGACTCATCCTCAAATCAGTACCTTGTGTTGTGTGTAAACATCGCCACAAGGGAGACAAAGGTGGCCGGGCATTTTGGTGGCCACCAACCCTCTCGTGTGCCATGTCGGCCTTCATAGGTGCCCGCTTACAGCACTTTCCCCAAAAGTCTGTTAAGGCTATGAGGGGGATATTTGACTTTGTGTCTGTCTCTCTCTCTGTGTGTGTCTGTCTCTCTGTCTCTTCATTTGCGGCTGCAAGTGTATACCTCCTGCCTTTCCAAGTCTCCATACTATGGATGTGTTTGGAAGAAGAAAAAATGAGGCCCAGAAACATAATTTCGGATCGAAAAAAGTTGTTATGGATTAACGATTCTTAACATTCCGTACTCCTACAGCCACCCTGCACAACACCATCATGACTGATGAAGTCACTGAGGACTTTACACAAACAGCCATCAAATGGTTGTTTAAACCCACAAAATGCCTGCCGTTAGTTGTTGGGAAAGCTGCAGTATTGTAAAAGGAGTTGTACTCAACCATTAATTATTTGCCTATTTATTAATACACGTAAAAAAACCCCCTATGATTAACACCAATGTTAATTCAACATTTCTGCTGTTATATGAAGCAATAAACATTTGTAAACAAGATAGTGTTAGATTAATTCGTCCGTTGGGGGGTTGTAACAAAAAGAAAAACATGCAACACATCGTGACCTTTGTTCACGCTCACCTTATGTACACACGGGGCAGTTTCTGATTTGAAGAAGCTATAACTGCCACCACAATTGTCACCTGCTATAGCGAAGTAAGCAACATTTTTTTTTTAAATGCCGTGTTCACAACAAAACATTGAAACGAAACGTCACAAATGTGATACTATTGTTATCATTTACGTACTTCCCAAAATGTTGCCTACGTCACTCGGAATGTGACAACTACAATGCCCGTAATATCTCAACGCGTTCAACAATGCAATATTCGGTGCGTATAGAACAAAAGTGAAATGTGGAATTGAAACTTACTGGTGTTACACTTTATCCTGATACAGTCTAGATAGGGGGGGAGAGAATGTGAAATGTGAATTTACATCCTTCAAGGTAAACAGCTGCAGACATCCATTCAATATCAGTGCCACCCTTCCGGGGACAGACACACGCAAGGGGTGACCATTTTAATTACACCACGGGCAATCAATTCCTGGAACCTTTAATTATCTGGCCGGCAATTGTCTCGTGTGAAAATGCTCGGCTGAATTTAATGCTGTGTAATCGATTGAGAATTTTGACCAAACTACAGCAAGAGTAATTACTCTCGCTCGCTATTAAACAAATTAAGGCCAGGTTGCTGAAGGGCGAAAAAAAGGACCCTTTATTTCCCGGCTTAGTATAAAATGGTCACCGGCAAAAGCGCGTCACGTAATGCCACAGCCAGATCAGGAGGAGACAAGAGCACTCGGATGGCAGCGCAACTCACACAAGTGCCACGACTTTTGTCTCTCTCGCCCTCACTACATCCAGAACTAGGATCTCATGGGCGAATGCCAACCCCCACCTTCCCCAGCCATGTTCTGCGATGGTCTGAGAGTGGCACCTTTGTGTTGAGTTGTGGCTGCCCTGGTTTCAGTTAAATTTACAATCGAACCTTATTTGTTTTACACCTCTCGGCATCTCAAAGGCATGATGTGTGGGAATTACAAAAATACAGGGCACGTGTGTTTTTTTTGTTTTAATTGAGGTAAAGTAACATTATCTACAGTCGTAAATACTGTAAAATTAATCATCTATCATTAGCATGTAACACATTGCAGTGTCTTTGCAGATACACATAAAAATGTAACGATTACATTTATAAACATATGCCACTTTTTTTTTACATACATATACAAAACAAAGCACACGCAAACACACGCACTCACACTTCTCCCAAGCTCTGTCGTTCGCACAACACAAAGACACAGGCGCACGCATATATGGTTTGTCATTGCACAAGATGCCCTTGAGATGCAAGTACCAACCTCGGCTTGGCATCACGCGACAAAGTTTGACATGTGTCGTCAACCGCAACAGAAAAGTGGGTGCAAATAGCCATGGGGCAACCTTCCTGGGTTGAGCCTGCAGTGAACGCCGCTTCCATTGCACATTCCGGCTGTCTCGCTGTTCTCGGTGAAGTGGTTTTCTTTTTTTTTTTGTTAAAGTTCACGGCGAAGAAAAGAAGCGACTTCTCTTCCCCCTCGTTCAGCTCCGATTTACGTCGCGATGTTGTTTATAATAACCGTCAAGCGAAAGTAACCGTTCACTTTCATTTCAGATTTAGTTTGTGCGTGTGCTAAACTTGCACATCTGCCCCGTCCGCAACTATCAATGCATTGAAATAACTTCCATCTTTTGAATGCTACGAGAAGCCGCGAAAAAAAAACTGTTTAGTTGCGCTGTAATTATCCACGTCTAGAACACGCGTGCAAAGCAATATCGCATGCTTCATGACGACACTGTAGCCCGCGGTTTTACCTTGCCCATCTCCTGTTATTTACTCGAACCCGAGAATTTCTGTAAACTAGGGGGTGGCCAAACATCACCCTGGCCGTACTTAGCCACGTACAACGTGCTTTCATATTGCCAAGAGCCACGGGACACACATGACTTGACACATGCACTCCTTGTTTAATCTCGTTTTGTTGTTTGTTAAGCGCTCGTAAGAGAGCAGCGTCCGATATACGTCTCTTTTGAGCACTGGCGGTAGAATAATAATTTTGTATGGCTCATGGCCGGTCGGCTTGCCCAAGTTGTTTTAGAGTTTATGGAATCTGTCGGTCCGTCCCGGGAGTACTCATGCCTTGACCCACCGTGAACGGCGAATGTCCCGGCCTTTCTCCAATTCATGCAGATTAAATAGAGTGCCATCGCAAAGTTGGCAATTATATTATCCGTGTCTCCATCAAGCAGCAACTGCTGGAACTGCCCAGGCATGAGCCGTGGTTTGGCCACCCCTGCTATATATACCTCATATATATGCCTATCTGCTGATCCCTTTTATTTAAATGTATGAATTACAATAATTTGCCTGAGCAACCCCTGGAGATGGAACATCTCGTTTGCCAAGGGTGTTTCAGGGTGTCAAGTAATATATACATCATTGTAGTCCACATCGTGACTTAGCGGTGTACGGACACGGTAGAATTTGTACATAAATGTGCAATGTATAATGTTCACTGCTACTGTGATGCCTATTCAATGTTTGTATGCTTGCCTTTTTCTTGCGTAACGGTGCAGAGACCGTGCTTGGGGACACCTTTAAAGTGGACACTTTGGACCTGGGATGGTAATCAGGAGACGGAGTAGGCATACAACTGATCTTGTCAGGTTTGCTGTCTGTCTGTAACAGACTGACCGTGCTCTGGGAAATTCACTGCAGGCATTTCCACGCTTATCGCCCCATGTCTGCTTGCTCTCGGGTCGCAGGCTTTGGCCTTTGAAGGGATATATTTTATCAGGGGAGACAGAGCTGAGAATGGTGACATCCGTAGAGTTCGCATGCAGTAAGAGTACTTTTAAAAGAAACACGTGAAACGCTGTATATATATTTCAGAAACGAAATTAAGGTGAGTAACTTTGCACGCGTCTATACCGAGACCGTTAGATAGTGGCGACCCAACACGCGCAACTTTAATGGAAACAATGCGTCGTTACTGAGGCACGGATATTTTGACGCAATGGTTATGCTTCCACAGACTGCCGTGCGGCAGGAAATGTAGATGCCGGAATCTAGGACGACGGGCCGTGCCACGCTATCTTTCCGAGTAGGAAAAAGGTCACGGCTGTCCGCCGAAGCAATCCATTGATCAATAAGAGAACAAAAAAAAGTTAAACAAATGAAAAAGAATGGCCGGGCAGAAATTGTGTCTCGTGGAGGAATAGAACACGTTTGTAAGAAATGGTCGTTACGGGAAACAAAATGTACTTCACGTGAAATTAAAAGCAGGTACATCTAATGCATGAACTCCGATTTCACGTGAGACTCTAGATGGAGAGAAAGCAAACGCGAGTAAAAACACATTAATAGTAACGCGCCGCCTGTGAAGAGTCATAGCTTATAAGGGGGTGACTTTCAGTTACAAGCACGGGCAACGCGTAAAACGAAGGTCCTTTTTTGTCCGCGAGGTCATATCAACATATAATTTGTTACAATTACCGCGAAATGTCGACGCTCATGCGCGAAGAGGCGACTACCGCGGGAGGTCTGAGGGAGGGAAAAGCGGCAACCAAGCAGCACAGGCGGGAAACACGCGGCACGGCGTCGCCCAACGCCGACGACCACCAAAGCCCCCTGGGGTTACCGAGGTTGACGGTGAGTTTGACGCGCCCGGCGTCGAGCTCCAGGCGCATCGTGTCGGCCGAGTCGCGCGACGTCGTGGCCAGCAGCAGGCCGAACGCTCGCAGCGACATGAAGCGCAGGGACACGTCCTCCGCCTCGGTGTGCATCACCGTCGGCATCACCACCTTCATGAACATGGAGCCGTCGTAGCTCAGCACCGTCGCGTCTGCGCCCCACACAGACACGCGCGCGCACACACGGCGATCGTCGAGGAGCAAGGAAGGCGTCACGCGTCGGGGGGCATCGTCGAGCCAAAGTGATTTCCTGCTGATGCGATGAGCGGTGATTTTTTTTTTTTGGGGGGAGAGGTGGGGGGGGGGGGTGGTTTGTTTTATCTTACCTAGAACCGTTAACAAGTTGTTGTTTTTTTTTACTTGTCAAGTAGTGTGGTCACTTCATCCCATCACTTGCAATATGTCTGGCCCAGTTGTGGAAGAGGAGGTCAAATACCATCAAGCCGGGGTTTTGCGAGAACGTCATCTATTTGAGGCCTTGCCTCCAGCGGTGGCTGGAGGAAGTAATTGAGGCTGCACCTTTACCTGTCCTATTTACAGCCGTAAGCCAGTTGTGGATATTCTACGTTGCTATGGCAGAGGCAAGTTCATCCATGGGACAACCACTGTTGACCTCCCCACAAAGAAGTACTCAGTTTTTGTATTGACCCCAGAGGAATGATTGGGCTAAGTCAAACCCTAAACAGGGTCGCGAGCTGCTCACCCTACCACTGAGCCAAGCGGCTATCACTTAGCGTTAGCCACCCAAATGAGATGACGGGCATTAAACGTAACTGGAAGTGACACTAGACACACAGCCACCACGAGCCCCCCTGATCCCATCTCCATAAACAAACATGAGCTTAACAAACTACAGTGGCTTCAAAACAACCTGTCAATCGCTGTCCTAAGCATTACATGGGGCCATATGTCTTCCATGGCTACGCTTAAAACCTTAGCTGTCCATTAAATAAAGGATGCAGTACAACACCGCTATCCTGTGCCATTGAGCTATGTTTTAAAAGTCTACCGCCATACCTCTCCACCCTTCTCACTTTAATGACCATAGCGAACCGCCGCCTCCTACGAAGTACATCTAACAACCTGCTCATGGTACCCACAACCAGGACAGCCCTGGCTAAGCGGTGTTTTTCTCCACAAATACACCGGCAGCCGTCTGGAACTCTCTCCCGCTGCTGCACATTCGCAGCAGCATCCAAGCACCATCACTCACCTTCAAGCAGCAGCTCAAAGCTCTAACCCGTCCAGGCTCTCACCCATCCAGTCTCACACCCATTCAATATCTCACTCGTCCAGGCTCTCACTCGTCCAGTCTCTCATTCAATCTCTCATCCGTCCAGGCTCTCATCCATCCAGTCTCTCACTCATTCAATATCTCACTTGTCCAGGCTCTCACTCGTCCAGTCTCTCACTCATTCAATCTCCCATCCGTCCAGGCTCTCACCCATCCAGTCTCTCACCCATTCAATCTCTCACTCGTCCAGTCTCTCACCCATTCAATCTCTCACTCGCCCAGGCTCTCACCCATTCAATCTCTCACTCGTCCAGGCTCTCACCCATTTAATCTCTCACTCGTCCAGTCTCTCACCCGTTCAAGCTACACCTGTCCAGGTTCTCACCCTTTCAGGCTGCACCCATCCAGGGTCTCACCCATCCAGGCTCTCACGCGTCCAGGCTTTCACCCATTAAGGCTCTGATCTATTTAGGTTTTCACTCGTTCAGGCTCCACCTGTCCAGGCTCTCACCAGTTCAGGCTCTTACCTGTGCAGGTTAGCATTAAAGGGGACATTTATCTCTGGCTCTGTGCCTCTGAGTTATCGATTGAACATTGCATATAATTCGCTAAATGTGTGCATTATAAATTGTGTTTATTTTGATTTATCTGGACATAATGACAGTAATACTTTTTACCCCTTTTGTCAATCCACTGCTGGATGAAGGTCTGTGATAGGCTAATCATCAGTTAGCTGGGGGAAAGGTTGCAGAAGGTTAGAGCAAAGCAGGGAGGCTGGCAGTGTTGTGAAAAGTAAAGGAGGGGAATGGAACATGGATGACAGGAACGTTTGGGATAAGACCACCAGGGAGAGAGGAATAGGAAATTGCCGACAGACAGTAGGTGTGAGACATTCCTGGTGTGGGCCAAGTGGAATCGATCTGGCGAAGGAAGAAAAGAGAGATTGAGAAGATCGTATTCAAGCTGTCTGGTGTGTTTTCTGGTCATGCCGTGTGTCGTTCGGCATGATCGTCAGAGTTCCCAAAGAAGCTCCCAGAGCGTGGAGTGAAATGTCATAAGTCACGCCGAGCCTGCGTATTAGCAAAACATATTAATGCAATGCTCCATAGGTTTATTTAGTCAGGCACGAGCAAATATTTTCACGAAAACTTAATGCCATCATCCATGTGAGAACCTTATTGATCTGAAGTTGTATGCATTTTACAGTCCCAAATGATTGTTTGTGGCCACTGAGAAACTACTGTAATAGTCAATGCAGTTTTGGCCGCAAGTCTTTTCATACTTAGGTCATCATTAGCCATGATCAATCCACTCCTGGATGAAAGCCTTCTAAGTCGTCGTTGGTATCCCACACGATGCTACGATGGGACAACCCATGCACCTGCTCGCATGCTAATTTCATCGCCCCATCTATGCAGTGGCCATCTTATATTCTTAGTTCTTTCGGTAAAGTCACGTTGAAGGGAAACAACAAAATAATAAAATATATATAAAACAATAAAAAAATTCTCACGACGTTTCGACCGTTTGTGTTATGGTCGAAACGTCGTGAGAATTTTTTATTGTTTTATATATATTTTATTATTTTGTTGTTTCCCTTCAACGTGACTTTACCGAAAGAACTAAGAATATGAATTACTGCAGTCACGAAAGCTTTAAATCAAAAGTGGCCATCTTGTTAGACGCACCATCGCGCATCCCGTCAAGTGATGTGTCCTGCCCAGGCCCATTTACCTTTATTAACGATTCGAATTACATTTCCAAACCTGCGAAAGTGCATTGATTTGTGTGTTTATCTTTCTGTATTTCAAGTAATTCCAAGCATGCATCCCCCCATGCTTTTCCTTTGTGGATTTTTCAGTGTTCTTGTTAAATTTTCATTGTTCTTTTAAAAATGTCTAGTCCATAGGTCATAACAGGCAGGATAAATTGATTCAAAAACGTAACCAAAACGAATATACTTGATCGGTGCATTTTCTAAATCATATTGGCCATTCTCAGCTGAAATAAAATGTTAACTTGTTAAAAACGGTACATGCTGTAATATTACATTTATAAGTGCAATGTTCGGCAGAGGCAACAGAATTGCATTTAAATTCAACAAGCGATGCATGCAAAGTGTTAACATTTTGTTATAAATGCAAGATAGTCTATTACTTTTGGCGGAATGTTATTTTTATTTTGGGAGGCCAATTTACTAGATGCGTATTGCGCGTCCATGCTGCCCACTCTTTAAATGTAATATATTGCTTATAAAGGATAAATAAGGATCATAGACTACCTTGCATCAACGGCAAGAAGTCAAGCTCCACCACGGGATATCGATAAGAAGAACTCCGTTCATACTCTGATTATATATATGAATCATCATATAACAAGGCTGACTTTATTACCTAAGAGGCAGCTACCAAATTATTTCACAGTGGTCTGATAGTAGGTTTCATTATGTTGTCCACTGCCATTAAAAGGTTCATTTCTCATGGCATTAAAGTGAGTAATGACCTGCATTACATTGATCTTCACCACCGTATATCTATAAGATACAACTAGTATTAAGATATGCACAAAATTATTTAACGGTACCGACAGGTATTTGTAATACAAAGCCATTGCAAGATGTGATTACAATTATTAGATATTAAATGTTTTATGTACCAAATTTACATGAAACCATTGATGATCTGGACATTTCTGATACTTATTTTGAATACATATTAAGCAAGCAATTTGTTTTGAAAAAGTATAATGATTTAAGGACCGTTAGATACTTTACAAAAACGTATCACAAAATATAAAATTTTCATATATATAAAGAAATTACCAATCTTATGATAAGTATTTTGGTTTTAAACAAAATATATTTCAGTGTATGCACTAAATTGAAAAAATACAAATTTATATTTGCGTCAAAGCCTCAAGAAAATGTGTTACATTTAAATCAATGTGTTAGATTTCGTTTCAAAATTTAGAACGTTCATATTTGCTGTGATATTAAGCAAAAAGAACCACCCACAATAATCGCCAAATAAACCAAGTAGTGTTTACTTTGCGATAGAAACAATTGCTCTTGATGGCACTGTTGGAAGATAGCAACTTACCTAAAACAAGTTTACGTCTTCCATTTTGTCATTTTCTGGAATTAGCAGCTTCATTTATCATAAAACAAATACGAGAGCAATGTCTCCTGTCGCATGCCAGAAGAGCAATTTAAATCACAACAATGATGGTAGGAAAATTGATATCTGCAAGCAACTGCTGTCTATCGGATCGCCTCAGTAGTACATCACGACTATCACGTGTTTATGTCTACCTCTGTCGAGCAGCAACCCGACACTTTGCTTTGTTAAATATATAGTGAAAGCTTTAGTGTATATCCTGCTGTGCTTTCGAGATCAACTTGCTGACGCATAATGTTTGTTTGCGAAAACATAATCTGCATGTTCCATATAACAACCTAGATGTAAACTGTTTACTTAAAACAAAGCGAGTCATACGTAATACTTAAAAACGCTTCATCTTCAAACAACTAAAATGCAATGTATTTGTTCCAAAATATTGGGCATTCTGTTTTGAATGTTTTAAAATGTATGTATGTATATATGTATATAAATAAGAAATAATATAAATTTAATGAATGACATAGAATTATAATTTGAAATGTGTACCAAACGAATAACTTCTACATGACAAAACGTGTTAAGATGTGCAAAATAAACAGTTCATGCATTTCTTACAAGTATCTCTTTTTTACATACAGTACGTTTATTGTATGTAGATGATGAAATTTCACATCAGAAAATCACTACAGTATTATAATTATAATAAATGGCAATTACCCAAGTAAGCTTCAATGAGTCAAAATAATCACCTCCGATTAGCACGATTGGCTACGTACGGTGCGAAAGAAGTTCAACATAC